TATTTCAAACTGTAAGTAATCAACCTGATTTGCTAAGCCATATTCCTCCTTCTGATGCACAAAAATGTCTTGTAGCTTTGACAAACAAGAACCTTCGTTCATTAAAGTTTTAGGTCTAAAATGGTGTCCAAAATCTGACGAGTTTACTTATTCTTTTAATCCAGTTGATCGCCAATGTACTAAACGGAATATACTTTCCGAAATTAGTAGAATATATGACCCTATTATAATTTCCCCAGTTATTCTATTAGCAAAATGTCTTCTACAAAAACTCTGGGAATCTAATATATCTTGGGATGAAACTCCTTCTACAGAAATATTGCAGGTCTGGAATAGGTATAAATCCGAACTATCTCAACTAGCTGGAATTAGAATACCTCGACGTGTAATTTCTGATAATGTTTCTTGTATCGAACTGCACGGTTTCTGTGATGCATTAACTGTAAGACATTAAAGATAAGAACGTTTTTTAAGGAAATGGTAAATCATTCTCAATTTTATCATATGGTTCTCCTTTCTCTTTCCGTTAATTGGGTCAAGTTTATTACTTCAAAATCGATATCTTCTTCTTCTATTTCTTTCTCAATAGCATCGCCCATTCTTGGATGTTCTTCTTCATTTAGTAAATTATAATTATGGGCAATAAAAATAAGAGAGATGAGCAGGTTTTAAACATTTACTGACCCCTTTTTCCAGAATTGCACACCATTCCTTGTTTTTCGACCTAGCAACGGATTAATCTGATACTTTGCTACATATCATAGACCTTATTTCAAAAAAGCAGATAAAAACTTTTGAGATTGTTGGCCCATTAGCTTCAAAAATCATTATCCACTTAGAGATTGGCTTAACCAAATCATAAGTTGCTTGTTCAAGCAAAAAATTCGTTACAAAGCAGAGGGCTTACTGTGTTTGATGAAATAACATCAGAAATAGCTGGGCTAACATCGACTGCTTAGCCTTTTAATGAGTGTTTGGTGTCCAAAAAGCTTCTTAAACAAGAAACAAAGCAGCCCCATCTTGATTTCACCAAAAAAGGGAAAGAGTAGAGCGGAAAAAAACAAAATATTTCCAAAGTTATCAATCTTGCGGTTATATTGTGTAATATTACCAAAATTACCGGTAATATTACCCTTTACATCACTAATCTCGCCATTCCAATTATTATAAACCAGATATTGAAGAAGTACGATTTAGGAGGCGTTACGATAAAGGCGATTTTTCCTAGGATTCAAGACATAAAATGTATAGGTGGTTCTATTTAAAAAAATTACAAATTGGTAGCAACTTTTTGTTAAAATGGAATTGATAGAAAGTGCATCACGATGTGCCTTTAAACTGAAATATATGGATTTGTTTTTAACTTGGAGTTTAAAAAGTCTTAGTGAACGGCTTGTGTAAAACCCTATAAAATATCAATATGTATTACAAGAAAATATCACATCCTGTATCGACCATTACACATAATTAACCACATTTATTTATATTCAATATACTTGGTGTTTGACATTAAGAATTAGAATGTTATTAAAGCTGTGTTTTATAATCCGAGCTTCGAATTATTTCAATGATTATTATCGGAAAATGTCAGTGAGAAATAGGATGTAAATTATATTGTTCTCTCGGTTCATCCTGTCACGGAAAACAATATGGAGAACTGACAATTTTTTCTCCTGGGTATTCGATTAAGAAAAGAATTTCACGAATGTTTGGAGACTCCCTGATATGTTTACTTGAAATGTCAACGACATTAAGATATACAGGGAGGTCCGAACTGTATGCCGGAAACTTGGACAGCATATTCTGCAGATAAAAGTAAGTAAAAAAGTTCGTGTAAATATATGTCCTAAAATGCTTAGTTTCGGAGATACAGAGTTGAGAAGTTTCATTTTTATTTAGATGTCTTCCAAATGGTTTATGAAGTAACGTCAATATTTGGATGGAAATTGGTGACTGAATAAAAACAATAATTAATATTGTTTAAATTTCCATTTCAGCGGCAGAAAACCAGCCTTTTTGTGAAAATTATTGTTTTAGAATTTGTCTCATGTTAACTTTGTTTTATGTAATTAAACATAACCAAAACAAATATATTTTTTGAAAGCATATACATTTTTAAAACCTGTAAAATGCTTTTCGATAACTCAAATAGGTATACAAAAAAGTTTTTGGTTTATGGGTCATAGTTACTTCCTTTTTGTTTTCTTTAGGTATTAGTTAAAATATGTGTCATGTATTCTCGGAAGCACAAATTGCTAAAGCACTTGGATTATTTAGAAATGGATTGTAAAATATTGTCGATTATGGCTGATGGCGTGTCTTCGGCTTAAAATACTAGCTATCTTCTTTTATAAAGTATGATCTTAAGGGAACAATGGCTTTAATAATTTTGCGTAATGGTATATCGTCAAAATACAATACTTGCTTTGTGTCATTCAATAAATTATCTACTTTAAACATGGGTAATATAAAATAATGTAATAAATTTACTAAAGCGTCACTTTAATCCATTACATAAGATTGAAATCTTTGACAGGGTATAATAAGTCTACCTATAATAACCCAATAGCGGTATCACATAAGTTTTAATAATTCAGCAGAATTTCTCTATTTTACAGAATGTAGGGAAAATACGAGTAAATAGTTATTTTTTTATCTAGTGCGCGAAGTGCTACTTTGGCGATCAATACTTGAATTTTTTAACGAGGCGTAGCCGAACATCCTCAAAAAAGAAATTTTGTCGAGATCACCAAAGTAGTTCGCGCACGAGTTGCAAAGAACATTTTTTCTACAAACATTAAAATCGGCATATCCCTAAAAATTAGTATTATTATATTATTGTTTCGAAAAAAAAAGCGTGATTAACATGTCACTGTAACTATGGAAATAAATTGGAAACAGTAATAATAATTACTCCTTTCAAAATTATACGTTTGTGCTCGTTAGTTTCGGAGGATGGAAATCTTCGACAGTAGGCGAGGGATACGTCGAGGATTTTATCAACAATAAAACTCAAATATCAAATAAAATTTTAGAGAGCCAAATACCGGGATCAAGTACCTCTACATCAAAACTGGATAGTGTCTCAAATTCCAAAACCCCCATATCTCAGGCAAAATCAGAACTATCCAGTTTGGGATTAAATATTGGTTCCTGTACTGGTTGTACTATTAATGTTAATATTGTAAATAATAACTAGAATATGTATTAGTGTTAAGTTTGATATTTGTTATTCGTTTATAAACTAATATTCGATTCTATTAATATATCTAGAAATTCATTTACCCACTAGTAGTTATATCGGACCTTTTTAAAAAAATTAATTTTATTTTTCAGAAACTATTAGAGACAGAGTTTACCAAAAATGCTTTTTATAACTACTAGTGGGTAAATGAATTTCTAGATATATTACGAATTTTTTTGAAACTTTAGTTTCGGAGATATTCATTTAATCGGACATTTTTAAAAAAATTAATTTTATTTTTCAGAAACTATTAGAGACAGAGTTTACCAAAAATGCTTTTTATAACTACTAGCGGGTAAATGAATTTGTAGATTTATTACGAATTTTTTCGGAACTTTACTTTCGGAGATATACATTTAATCGGACCTTTTTAAAAAAATTAATTTTATTTTTCAGAAACTATTAGAGACAGAGTTTACCAAAAATGCTTTTTATAATTACTAGTGGGTAAATGAATTTCTAGATATATTACGAATTTTTTTGGAACTTTAGTTTCGGTGATATTCATTTAATCGGACCTTTTTAAAAAAAATAATTTTATTTTTCAGAAAGTATTAGAGACAGAATTTACCAAAAATGCTTTTTATAACTACTAGTGGGTAAATGAATTTCTAGATATATTACGAATTTTTTTGGAACTTTAGTTTCGGTGATATTCATTTAATCGGACCTTTTTAAAAAAATTAATTTTATTTTTCAGAAACTATTAGAGACAGAATTTACCAAAAATGCTTTTTATAACTACTAGTGGGTAAATGAATTTCTAGATATATTACGAATTTTTTGGAACTTTAGTTTCGGTGATATTCATTTAATCGGACATTTTTAAAAAAATTATTTAGTTAATTATCGAAATAAATAATTAATTATGATTTAGTTCTTCATTTTCCAAAAATCAAAATTCCCAAATCCCATATAATTTACAAGCAGTGTGCGAAATAGGCATTTCGCGCATTACTTCACGTACCGTGTCATGGTAACGTAGGAACATGAAAAAAGGGTCACTTCGCACATTGCTATCAATTCGCGAACCTTGTCATTTTTTGACGTTTGTAGAAAAAAGTACATTTCAATGCCTTTCCGAATAAAATGATGAATTAATTTAACAAGTTTAAGTTTAAATGTGTACATTGGGAACCTTATTTGTGGACAGCTACAATATCAGATGTGTCTAGTTTAATTTGGAGGAACATCATCAAAAAACTATACGATTTATGATTTAAACCAAAAATGTCTGCCAAAACCAGATGGCTGTGGTTAATTTTAATTGTTAGATTTTAATTTAAGCTACTGACAAAATAATATGTTGTTTTGAATTATTGTTAATAAAATTTAAAAAAAAATAGAAATGCTATAAAAACACATCTTTTTAAAGTTTGCATTTTTTTAAAGCAGATATTGACATATAAACCGAAATCTACTAAAGCTACTTTTTTACCATTCACTTTTACTACAGGGTGTTTAGTTTTTAATGGTAAAAAGTAGTTTGTGTTTTCCCATATTATACATCAAGCAATCAGGTTTTTTGAGAAGTGGAGTTCAGAATAATAGTGCAAGACACATTTCTCCACATCACAAATTGTTTGACCAATATCTATAAATATACACGGCTGTCATTCTGACGAAAGTTAACTAAGTGTACAATTGATTGTCAAAAAGTGTTTTTATAGATAACGAAAGAAATGTGTAATATGTTAATACTTCACTAGTTTATGTTGATAATAATACTGATATACACAACCAATCTTGTACTTACTTAAACTTATATCCGCTAAATCCATCATTATCGGCTTCATATTTCACAATCGTTGCATCCCTCGAGCTTTGCTGAGGAGCAGCAAACACAGCTGTCAATCCCAATGCAAGTAATACAATCTTAAAATAATACAAAATATGTCAATGTTTTCAGCAAAAATAACTAATTTAAATTTTAGCAAATTGATTTATTGATTTTTAAAAACCTGCAATGCACTTACAAATTTCATTGTGATTATTTGCACAACCGCTTGCAATGACGTATAAAAAGATGTGACATTTTCTTCCTCAGTTGACTATTTATACAATTATTAATAAGTGTCTTCCTCTCTCCCACTATAAAACTCTATAAATATCGCCGATAAAGTGTTCATTATTCACGAAAAAATGTGTTTCTTGGCATATTTAAATGGTACTCTCCTATAGCCGTTTTCTTTGAGTAAAGGTGAGCTTCATGATATGTTGGCCACGATTAAGTCTGTCTTCGCGTCCTTGCCGTTGCGCAATGTGCCATCTCGGAAAATGATATTCGAAGGAAAATGTCCCAGGGCTTACCTTGACATCTTCATTGATAAACTTAATTGGGTATATGATGCTAATATGATTACTTTTTATTATTGTCTTTTTTACAATTATTTTTTTTTAATTATCGAAATTAAATATAGCGAATATACAGGGTGTTTTAGAAAACTAAAGGAACGTACAAGGGAAAACCTGTGCAAAATTCAGAGACTGGCAACTGCATCACAAGGGCCTTGAGAATCTGCCTAACAGCAGCAGTGGAGGTTATTCTAGACCTAAAACCACTGCGCCTTGTTATTGCTAGATATGCCAATGCGATAATGATTATTAGAAAGGTCATTGACGGAAATAGTACTGGGTGAATTGTCAGCTCAGGAGCTTGGAACATCCTCAAAAAGAAAATTCCACTTCTCTAACTCCCAGTGGATTGACCATCAATGGAACGGTGGAACGGTATACCATAACTTGGTATAACGATACAAGAAACACATATACCTGGGCATACGAGGCTTTGAGCTTTAAGCTGAAGCTGAACAGCTGAAGCTGAAACTTTAAGCTGAGCATTTGAGAAGAACTATTGGAATATGTAGCGGAATTTGATTACCTCGGCGCGGCAGTTTGATTTCGCAAAAGGCCAATGTCGACTCTGAAACTCAGCACAGAATTATCATCGCCTTAAGAGCATTCTGAAAATTAAAAGAGGGGTTTTCTACAATCATGACTTAGCGAAACCTGGGTGCCTTACCGCCGACACACGAACGCATTAAACAAGTTGCAACAGAGACACCTAAGACAATAATTGTTAAGAGTTGAATGGTACTACCATGTCTCAAACGTATCAGTCCTTGAAAAAGCCTGCTGCGAGAGCGCTGAGGTAGTGGTTACTAAATCCCGCTTAAGATGGGCTGGCCACGTATGCAGGATGCAAGAAAACCACCTACCGAAATATCTACTTTACGGTGAACTTGTAGAGGGTCAATGGAAACTGGGTGGATAACTCAAAAGGTACAAGGATATTTTCCATGAAAACTTAAAGGGGATAAACATGCAGAATCGGTGGGAAGAAACATCGGCGCACAATAGAACGCAATGGAGAAGCATCGTATGCTCAGTCAACAACGACAACCAAAAAGTAAAGAGACAACAAAGTAATGAGATTTTTGAATTTCCGGCGTGCGCAAGAGAGATAACATCACGTATCGGACTATTCAGTCACAGAAAAGGTTATGAAAGAAAACGCCTTGCGAAACCATCTTCTGATGCGTGTCAAATACTCGTCAGCGAGTAATGGCAGTAAGTGAGTATACCGATGCTTCCAAAACCAAAACAAGAACAGGGATAGGAATATTTGGGCCGAAAACTAAATACTCAGAACCAATGTATACCTACCCCTGCATCCTTCAGGGAGAAATCTACGGTATCGAAAAATGCGTATAACTTATCTTAGATCGGAAATATGAAATAGCCATCTTATCAGATAGTCAAGCAGCCATAAGAGCGACTGACTCAATAACCATCAATTCGAAGTTGTCCAAAGACTGCCTAGAGAAGATGTTTTTTAGAGGAAGGGACAATAGAGAAACACAAATGCAGTAGCTCTCAAAATTTAAACAAAATAAATTTTATTTAATTTTCGAAGTGATATAATTCGATTATTTTGAAATTGTTTAAAAAACGGTAAGAAGAAAATACAGGGTCGCTGAAATATATGGGAACGGTCGATTATTAGATAAAATATAGAAGGTACCGCAATAAGTTAAATACGAAAGTTATAGGGTTTTTAACTGTCTAGTAGCTAGTAGTAAATTTAAGTATACAGGGTCGGTCATAAAGTTGTGGCTCATTAAAATTTAGTTTTTTTTTAAATACAACCCCCTGTATATTATTGCATATTTCAATTTTTCCTTCAATTTTAAACAATAATCGTAATACACATAAATTCAACCATTTCCGAATTATAAAGTTTTGATTATCAAATATTAAACGAAAATTTTGTAATTTCCAGACTTGATATAATCTCAATTTATACGTCTATAAATGCTAACTTGTAAACTAATGTCAAATATAATTAAGTATCACAGTTTTCGCAGAATCGCATCGTTAAATGAAACCGAACACATCGAAATTAATTAAATCGAATTGTTCAAAAGTCAATAACTCGGAAACCGTTTGTTTGAGGTACATTGTATGTCTCTGAGTGAGTTTTTGCTTAGAAAAATATATAAACTTTGATGTGCCACTACTTTATGACCAACCCTGTATACTTAACTTTATTACACGCTAATAGACATTTAAAAATCCTATAATTTTTTTATTTAACTTTTTGCTGTACCTCGTATATTTTACCCTTGTTTATAAAGCTTTTACCTAATAATCGACCGTTCCCATACATATCAGCGACCCTGTATATCTATTTCTTGTATCGAGATCTACCAGCTCTGAATATAGGTGCACTTGGGTGGGTTTTTACCACCGTGGTATTTTTTAAAAATATTTACCACCCTGTATCTCAAAACTGAAGGTATTTAGGACATACATTCATATGTTCATATACAGGGCGAGTCTTAAATAAGTTCAAAATTCAAAATAACCTAGTTACACAGATAACATAAATATTATTTGTGCTAGTTATTTTACTTTGAATATTTCCAAAAGAAATGATTTTTTGCTTAAATTTTGAGAACCATCTTTTCTGGGTTTTCTTTCTTGGAAATTTAATCTACTACCTATGTTATCAAGAAATTCTGTTCTAAAAACTAAAAAAAAATCCAAAATTTTTTTCAAAAAATTCCAAATTTTTTTTCGCGAAATAAACTTTATAATCGTAATCGTGTTTCTGGGCTCGAGATATACTACCACTAAAAATATTTGCACTTATTTAAGACTCACCCTGTATATTTCATACATTTTGTGGTCATACATTCATATGATTATTTTTTTTTTATTAGAATAGATCCAAGAATCGCCTCCTTAAATATTATTCACTAAGAAGAAACGCCCTGTATTATGTTATTATTAAGTATGCGTTAAAAATTGGGAGTACAATTTTACAGGCATTTGAAAAAAAGTAGCTTATTAAAAATTAAAAATATTTAATAAATAATTTTAAAAAATATATTTCAGCATATTACAAGCACATCTAAAGTTGTTGCAAAAGTTTACATTAATCCATCATTACCTAACTACCACATAATTAATAACTCATAAATGGCGGACAATATGTAAACCAATCAATAGTTAACAAAACGACGACCTCCAAAATACTGGGCGATCGCAATTTTCTACACACAAACGGGCACCTGTATGAGAATTCCGAACGATCGAACCAAGGTCCGAGCGCATCTTCAGCTTGACATTTAGATGGCTCAAGATTCTCGCAAATAATTGCATTCCCACGTCACCTTTTTTATATAATTCTTATTGGAACTAATAATAGTTTATGGAATTTGTGTAATGATGAATCGGAAGAGAATTTGCTCACTACAGGGAAGATCGGTATCTTTGTTCTTAGAAGATGTTGAGAAATGATAGTTAAAAATTCTAAGTGGATTAGGTAGAACGTTAAATGCATGGAAAGAATAAAAGTTGATTATCATTATACCTTCCCTATCAGCTACCTTTCATTTCCCTTCCTTCTTCTTCCTTCCTACTCTATAATAGGCAGATTGTCTGTTCATTCTTCACATCATGCCTACAGTTTTTCAATCGATGGTAAGGTTATCACACCATCTTTTTCTTGGTCTTCCCAGTGGTGATTTGTCTCGAGCAGACCTTACTATTCTTCCCTCGTCCATTCGGCTTATATGTTCATTCCATTCGCGTCTTCTGTTCAATACCCATACATTAATGCTATCCATCTTGCATGTTTGCCTTATGTTGTGGCTTCATTCTCTATCTAGCAGCGTTTTACCTGTGATTTTGCGGAGGATTTTCATCTCGCCTGTTTCCAAGAATCTTTTTGTTTCGGCTGTATCCGGTCTGGTTTCTGCTGTGTAGGTCATTATAGGTCTGACGACAGCCTTGTATATTCTTGACTTGACCTCGACACCTATGTATTTATTTCCCCATATGGTGCTGTTCAGACATCCAGCTACTCCTCGAGCTACTCTCAGTGCTTTTGTTGTTTGTTGTCTTACCTTTGTTTCGATATCGCCATAACCGGATAACTCTATACCGAGATATTTAAATATCATTTCTTGCTATATTATTGGTTATCCACGACAATCTTGCACCTAATAGGTATTTTTGATTTTGTCAGGCTCTTTGTTTTGGATGCAGATGTTATCATGTTATGAGATTTTGCTACTAGATTGAAGCGATATACTAGTCTTTGGAGGTCGTCCTCATTTTCTGCGAATAGCACAGCATCGTCGGCATAACATAGAATTGTTATATGTTTCCCTTCCGTTTACATAAAATATTATATTATGTAAATGAAAAAGACAATGCACACTATCCGTTCCGTTTCCCTTCGGTTCCAAATCCTGTCCTTCCATACATTTTTTGGCGGACAGACTGAAGCGTATCGGAAACAGCCTTGTCAAGTTCTTACAATTGTATCACCTCATGACCATTTTTCTGATACTTATTTAATCTTTCACCAAAATCTATTACCTTTTTCAAAAGGTTCAAATTTTTAAAATAAAAACTTTCGTAATGATATAAATTGTACAATGAAAAGTATGGAACTGATACGGAACGGAAGCAAGCTTGGGTATAGCGTCAATACAATAAAAAATATGGAACGGATATGGAATGGAAACAGAAGGTATAGTGAGAATCAACCTTAATGGATATCCCACTATATTTAAAATTTTCACTATTATAGTAATACCATAAAAGAAATTGTTTCATTTTCATTTATTCTAACTCAGAAATATTTTGAAAATTATCCCAAATCGAAGACTAGGAATAATCTACAGGGTGAGTTTCCTACGATGTTCTCTATGGGTATCTCGGAAACTACTGGAGATAGAGAGTCAGTTAAATGGGGAAAGAATTGCAGTTTTGTGGGGTCATAAATATGCGCTTTTCAGATTTTCGAAAAAGTTCATGGCTTACTAGATATTTTGAAAAAAACAAATTTTGGCTATTTTAAAAATTGTCTCTAATTCCATTATAATCTATTTTAGACAAAAAGTTTTCAGATAAAAGTTGTAGATAATCACATCCCTAATGAGATTGTGTTCTCCGATTTTTTTTAAAGCCTGTCATTTTTGACATACGACACAAACATATGTTTTTTTAAATGGAAACCATAGTTGGCCATGACTTCATAAAAAGCGCCGTTTTTTAAGCTTTTCAACGATATAAGCTATAATATGTTTCTTTCACAAAATTACTGAGTTATAACCAATTCTTATCTTTCTTGACTAATTTCACTTAGTTAGCCATGGAAACAAGTTCAATCGTCGTTGCTCTCAGAAATGTGAAATTGTCACATCCAATCTTTGTAAATTAACATAAACAAAAATTGTAAATAAGAGTTTTTTAAATGAAGAACAGCGTGTAGAATTATTGGTTCAACTTTTCTTGGCTATACAGTTTCGAGGATATGTTGACCGGTGAACGTTACGTTTTTTAGAAAACGGTTTGACGCGTATGCTTCTTTAATAAAACTCACCTTTATTTTTTTCCTAGAATCCGAAAATCAATTAATATATCGGGTGTTCCATTAGAAAAAACACAACTTTGATGTGTAACTTTTTTGGGGACACCCTGTATAATTCTATATATTTTTATAAAATGCTATCAGTTAACCTACATATATGCTGCCAAAATTTCATTTCGATAGCTTCCACGGCGTATGAGAGGCGACACCCTGTATAATAGTAGTGCGTTCAATAAAATAACATGGGAGGTTGTCGATCATCTTAAGTGTATACGTAATGGACACATTTGTATTTGTAATTTATAACGTTCTTTAGTATTTAATTTCTTGTAAGCAAAATATACGATTTAATAATAATAGTGTTTGGATAATAAAGTTGTTTATGTAAGTCGATCTACGTTGGCGTAAAATAACATTTGCGCTTCTTTTTGTTTCCAGTAATAGATTAGCTAATATTTGAAAGCTGTCGAAAAATATAATCTGTCAATTTATATGCACACCATATATAGTGACACTGTACCTATATATACCATATAGATACAGTGTCACTGATAAAACTCACAGTCCGCATCATATGGAAGTTTTTTTTTGTTTATTGGCTTAGATAAAATTTGACTTGATTATTAAAAGTACCATACGATAAAAGAAAAGATGTCAAAGACGGCTAGAGTTGATAATTTTGGCGAGGTCAAGCCCTAGACATCATTTGCTTGTCCTATACTCCTCTTTATTTAAGGCGTTTACAACCTTAAGAAGGTTGTAATTTATTTTTGTGCTGAGTAAAAATGATTTTTAAATGATTTGTTTAAAATTCAAAAAAAAATTCATATTTTACAATTTATATTTCAGGCTATGTACAGAAAAAAAACAATATAGAAATCACGAAACAACATTTTAGGGAGCAACAGGCAAATGAGCACCGACAGGTTGGTAACCGTTCTCGTCAGCTATGTAGCTAACGCTGTATACGACACCATCAGGTCCGGTGTAGGAAAATTGTCCACGGACTTGGTTAGCTTCGTTTTCAGATCCGGCATTGACAATTTGTCCTTGTTCTTGTGCGGCTATGCCATTGCTTGTTTCAAAGCTGCAAAAAGAAATTTATATAATGCAAGCATTTTTATAACTTACCGATTACAAAAAATAACTCTTTTATTTTGCAGTTTTTCTTCTATAGTGAACAAAATACCCAGAAATCTTTATATTAACTCTCTACATATTATAATGGCTTTTCTATTTCTTTTGATACATATTTTTTTGTTTCGAAAAAAAGTTATTTTAAAGTAAATTAGTAAATCAGCTTATTCAAAAGTGTAAAAAAATATTAATTAATTTATATAATATAATATATAATTATAATTAATTTATAATGTACTAGCGTGTAAACGCGACTTCGTTCGCGTCGAATTAATCATACTGGATAAAATTTTCCCACATTTATGTCAGCATGAGAAAAAAACAATATGGCGATATTATTATATAACTTGGTAATATTTGAGGGGTAGTTTCATCTCGTTGGAATTTGACTTTCGAAAAATCCGTTTGCCAAAAATAAGTTTTTTATGTCAAGCTGTTTAAGCAGAATCGTGGTTAATCAATTACCCAACTTTTTAGAACACCCTGTATGTTTTTTTAAAAAAATTCAAAATATGTAAAAAAACAAAATAAATTATGCGTGTTCAAGCGTTTTCCCGAAAGACTAACCGTTTTTTAAATAACAAATATTGTAATATTTGAGGGGCGTTTTCACTCTCTTGGAACTTGAAATTCGAAACCCCTCCTTATCGAACCTCTACAACTCACAGTCAATCCGTTTGCCAAAAATCTGCTTTAAACGTCAAGCAGTTTAAGCAGAATCGTGATTACTCAATGGTCATATTTTATGAAACACCATATAAATTTTTAAAAAATCCTAAAATATGTAAAACAACAAAATAAAATATACGTGTTTAAAAGTTTTTCCGAAAAACTCACCGGTTTTTAAATAAAAAATATTCTAATATTTGGGGGGTTTCACCCCCTTAGAATTCGAGTTTCGAAAAATCCCTTCTTATCGAACCTCTACACCCTAACGTCAATCCGTTTCCCAAAAATCAGCTTTTTACGTCAAGCGCTTTAAGTAGGATCGTGATTAATCAATGACCAGATTTTTCGAAACATCCTGTATACGTTTTTAAAAAATCTTAAAATATGTAAAAAAACAAAATAAAATATACGTGTTTAGGCGTTTTTTCGGAAACTTGACCGTTTTTTAAATAAAAAATATTGTAATATTTGAGGGGTGATTTCACCCCCTTGGAACTGGAATTTTGAAAAATCCCTTCGTATCGAACCTCTACACCCTAGACTCAACCTGTATGCCAAAATTGAGCTTCTTACGTTGAATGGTTTGAGGAAGATCGTGATTAATCAGTGAGTCAGTCACTTAAGGATTTTATAGATTAATACTTACTCATAACTGTATCCATCAACACCAATGTTGTCGGCATTATGTCTCAGAACAATAGCATCTTTATCAGAGTCAAGGGGAGCTGTAACAGCTACGGCTACCAGGGCAAACAAAATAGCTACCTATAAAAGATACGCATATCAATACCAACTCGTTTTACAATCTATGATATTTTTAGCTTATGTGTGTTGTTAATGATTGATTTAAACTATCTTTTAAAGGCGGTGAAAAACAACATCTCTATTTTATAATACAAAATATGTTTAATTGAACGAAATGATCTCATTTCGATATTTTTGTATAGTATTTGAAATCTATGGTACTTTTACATCGATACTTGCTTTAGTCATACATCCATACCTACTATATTATATATTTTACATAGATACCAACAAACTTCACAGAATTTTCTTCTGATGAACTATTTGCGGCCATTTTAAAAACACCACTTAAACGCCAAAAGTTAAACCATAGTCAACTGAGCCATGAATCGACTCTGATCAATTGACATGTCGAGTTTAGACAGATAAATTTATGAGAATGTAATATGAGCGTCCCAACTTTCACAGCCAAATGTCAACGTCGCGCGTCGGTATGAATACTGTCTTGTATACACTCATCTTCACTGCTCTCGAAAGTTGGGTATTAACTAAAAGATTGAAGAGTAAGATCCAAAGAATGGAGACGTTATATCTACGAAGAGTACTTGAGGTAACAAGGAAAGATAGACTAAGGAACAGCTTTATAAGAGAGGAACTAAAAGTAGATTCGATTCTGAATAAAATTGAGCAATGTCAGCTTAGGTGGTATGGACATTTGATCAGAATGAACAATGACATGGAATGACACAATAGAGAAGATAGTGCAGGATAGAGGACTAACATTAACAGAAGCCAAAAGTTTAGCAAGAGACAAAAATAAATGGAATCAATTTGTGTATAGTGTAGCAATTTAGTGAATTTATTTAATTTAGTATACCTTACACCTTCGGGTAGAAAGATTTTTGATTATATGTAATATGAGCGTCAAGTGACTTGATCAATTGACTTGACTCTTGTAAACGCAGCTATAGAGACTGGACTTATTTTGTACTTGGTTTTTAAAAGGATCTTCCACTCGTTAATCTTATTACCTTACCTTAGTACGTTAGTACAATGTTAAACAAAAAAATGTGATGTAGTTGCAAAAACATTACAGCAATTGCAGGAAATGCTGAGCACAGATACCTGGGCATACGAGACTTTGGACCTTAAGCTGAACATCCATAAAACTAAAATCATGTGCATTCCCCCGGAAAATTATAACGGTGCTATAGAAATCGGAGAAGAACTATTGGAATACGTAGCGGAATTCAATTTTATTACCTGGGCAGTTTGATTTCGGAAAAGGCCAATATCGACTCTGAAATTCAGCACAGAATTAGCAGCGCCTCAAGAGCATTCTGGAAATTAAAAGACCGGGTTTTCTACAGTCATGACTTGAGCACAAAAGCAAAACTTGCAGTGTACCGAGCAATAATAATCCCCACCATGTTATATGGAAGCGAAATCTGGGTTCCGTACCGCCGACACACGGGCGCATTAAACAAGTTGCAACAGAGACACCTTAGACAATTGTTAAGAATCAAATGGTACCACCATGTCTCAAATGTATCAGTCCTTGAAAAAGCAAGCTGCGAGAGCGCTAAAGTCATGATCACTAAATCCTGCTTAAGATGAGCTGACCACGTACGCAAAATGCAAGAAAACCGCCTACCGATATTTCTTCTTTACGGTGAGCTTGTAGAGGGTAAGAGGAAACCGGGTGGACAACTCAAAAGATACAAAGATATTTTCCATGAAAACTTAAAGGGGATAAGTATGCAGCATCAGTGGGAGGAAGCAGCGCACAATAGAACGTAATGGAGGAGAATTGTAAACTCAGTTAACAACAACAACCAAAAAGTAAAGAGGCAATAAAGTAATGAGACTTTTGAATGTCAGGAGTGCGGAAGAGAGATAACATCACGTATCGGGCTTTTCAGTCACAGAAAAGCTCATGAGAGAAAACTCCTTGCGTAACCATCTTCTGATGCGTGTCAAATAATACTCGTCAGCGAGTAATGGCAGTAACTAAGTAAATAAACAAAAAAAAATAGTGAATTAATTTTTCTTGATTAAAATTTAAAAACTTGCAAAACTTAATTCTACCAATATATGATAATCAGGAAATCAGTATCTATGGAGAAGTAAAATTCATAAAAATATTCCCATAGACATACATCTGCACTCAAAAAGTATCACCAAAACCGAACAATAATTTACAGAAGTTATATGAAATTTACATCGAATTTACAGTTCTAATTCCTAATAAATTATATTTATTTTTAAGACGTTTCAATATAAACCGATTATTACATCAATAGTTTTTTTATACCTGGGTACTGATTGCTACATTTTTGAAGGATATATACCAATTGCATACTTTTATAAGCCAACAAAAAGGCAGAAAAAGCAATTTAATTATAGTTAATTACAAGTATCTGAATTTATGTTATGTAAATATCAATTGATTATGTTATACATGCATTAAATGAAGATATTAATCATCGCTAATCGCTCTAAATGATACCCTGACTAAGAAATAATATAAAAGAAGCATCCCAAAGACTAAACAATTCCGCTCATTTATCATCTGTGCCATTGAAAGTTAAACGTTATATGTAATAACGAAAATTAAATAATATTTAAAACAAATTCTTTAAATATTACGAAAATTTTATAGTTCGTTAGTTAAATAAGTTATTAGCACTTACTACTTTCATGATGAAATCGAGATGATTGTTTACAGATGTCAATCGAACTGATACTGATAATTTTTTGGGTCACCATTAGTATCTTATACTGTTGAAGATTTAACTCCCTCCACAATGTTTCTTTTTGCATAATACCTACCAAAAAGTTTAGATTTTTTAAATTTCAAATTAAATTTTTGACCTTTAAAGACCAGTTTATTCCTCATATGTGAATGATAAGGTAGCGGCACAATCTTCTTTGTGCATATGCATATTCGTAAAATTATTAGAGACATCTGCAGAGTCAAGGTAAACATATCGGTAAAAAATGATACTTTTCGTAGATATGTTAAAAAGGTTGAATACTTATCTTTAGTCATAGATTTTATGTTATATGGCTAAATGTCATAGAGATTTTTTATGTTTTATGATTAATTCATTCTATAACGGATTTCCTGGTAAAACTTATACTTTTATGAGAAAAGGGTTCAAAGTCTCGATTAATGTTACTATAGTCTGTTCAACGCTTTGAATAAGAAGACTAAGGAAGGAGCATATCAAAAATCTTAGGTACACCGTGATGGGCCTCAAATATGGCCGACTTAAATTCCGGTTTATCAGTGTTGTTCTAATTTTATTTAAAAAATGTAAAACTATGATGTAGGGTAGACGTGGAGTAGACTCAATAATTTGTTGTTTTATTTTACGTTGTGAATAAATGTTGGTAGTTATTAAAATGTTATAAAAATATATAATTCTAATAAAAATAGATAAGCTATAATCACTATTTATTACCACAAACATCCGATACGCTACTGAAGCAGGTAAGTCAAATTAACGTATCTAAATTCTTTGACATCTAATCTTTGACAAGTAATAAATAAAAGCTAAAATGCAAGAAAGATATATAATTTAGTTAATTTAAGTGAATTTCATAAATGATCGGTTTACTACACGTATGTATATTATATAGTCACTTACTAGCGAAAAGTTGTTCCATTATTTCACTCAATTTTTGCCGAGATCTACCGCACGCTACACAACCAACTATTTTAGAGTCTTTTTCGATAAATCGCGATAGTGTCACTGTTAATTTAAGTGCTGCCACAATTTCCATCTAGATTTACTACCTTTATATAACTATCAGTAGTAGAATAAATAATAAATAACATAAAATAAGCTCCGTAAAGACTGACAAATCCACAAAATTTCAAATCAAATTCAAATGTGTCAAATGAATCGTCAAACAGAACTGTCAAGGATCCCCACCCTAGAGTGCTTTTATGGCGCTTTTTCCGCCCACCATGCATGAATACATGGATAGCATTATGCTCCTTCCTTAGTCTTCTTATTCAAAGGTCCAACGGGATGATCTCTGACAGTGAAAAATGTTGTGTTAAAATGACATTTTTGTCATTTTAATTCACAGGCAAATTGTATTTTCTGAACTAATAACTACTATATATTTTTGGAATCAAAATTGAATCAAAATTGGAATCAAAAGTTGTTCGCAGTGGCGGACTAAGGGGGGCGGCGGAAGGGGCAGTCCGCCCCGGGCCCCGTCTTTTAGGGGGCCTCCGAATCTTAATAAGTATTTTTTTTCAACTGGCAAACAAGGCCAATATGTGTTATAAAGTAGTTATAAAGCAGTAGTTATAAAGCAGTTTGTAGGTGGAGTATGCAAACCATACGTATACGCCAACTATAAACAGTATAAATCGAAGCAGATATTTACTTAATTATCAATTATCAGGCTCCAGTAATAATTGTCAATGGCATTTTCTATTTAGGAAATTAAATCAAGGGGTAATTTTCTTTGTTTAAAATATCGAATAATTATTATTTTTTATATATTTTGAGACTGAATTTATTTATTTTAGCTTTTAAGTTATTTTTCAATGGTTTCATTATTTATTTTTACTGAATAAACATTTTAAATTACAACCAATGTACAGCATAACTTAGCTTCATTACTGATGGTGAGCAGTGAAGTCTTTAGTATAACGGGGGCCACGGGCCTGAGACAGCGAAGGGGCCCCTCGGATCTTGGAGGACTTGGACGAAAAAAACTACCTATCAAGAAAATTTGTACGGCCTAAAAGTCAAATTTAGTGATTATCACAGCCCCTGTGACATAAAGAAAAGCCATGTGGCTATCTATTTCAAAAATAAAATTGTTCAAATATCATATCATAATGGCGGTATCTGTCATGGAATTGAGCGATTAAAAAATTATCATAAATATTTGTTTTTCAAATGGAAACTCACTTTTTTATTTCGTATGCATAAAAATGTAAAATTCGTCTTTTAAATTTCAATCTAGAGTGCCAGGGCTGTGTTAGAAACAGTAATTTTTAATCAAGGAGACTTACAAAAATTGATTTGATCGTCTAATGGTATTCGTGTCTTGTCCTGGCCCGTTAAAATATGCCCAAACAGTATTTTAATCATATCTCAATTTTTTCAAATGGATCAAGGGTGGCTCATTAGCAAACTTGGAAAAAGCATTTTTTTTACGAATAATTTGGTACCACACACTTGGTATTTCGAGTCAAATTGTCGTTATACCGAGGGTGCCATTTAAAAATCAAAAGTTGTTGTCATTTCCGATGAAACAGGAAGTAACCAAAAACAATTGAATACGTTAATCAATCCTAATTTATCTCATATGCTAACATACCGAATCTCGTTTTTTATCTGAAAATATAAAAAAGTTATAGGAGTGAGTAACTTTTGAGACGCACCCGGTATTTCTTTGATATATTTTGTCATTGGGAAAAATTGTTATTGGCCATCCATACAATGTATTTAATATGCATTTATAGTAAATTAGAACATACCTAACTTAATTTTAATGTATGTCACCAAAAACCATACAGTGTCCAAAAATTATAAAAAAACAATTCTTACACAGTTATCAAATCTCGATAAGATTGTTTGCAAAGTGCTCTACCCACTTTGTTTTTATTTTTTTTAAACCATACTATTTTGAAAATTTGCCTCATTTATTCAAAATGAATAAGGAATATAGTGATCGTTGCATAATATTTTCCTTCCAAGGTTTTTACTGAAGCATTATTTTTAATATTTAAATATTTAATTTTAGTAATTCTTCGATTAAGAATAGATTTAACTAATAATCTGCATTTTTATCACTCCTTACATAACTAATGATTATCACAGATGAATATTCAACACCTTCATCCTAATATTGCCAAGATAATTTCTATTTGTAATAATTTTGTAATTGTTTCCATGTTACCTCATAGGTTACCATATAAAAACCAAACATAAAACGCATAATATTCTGTTTATCTTTTGTATTTACATATAATTTTTGTACATTTATTATAAAATATCGCAGTCAGGTTTTTGTTTATTGGGGTGCTACTGGCAAGTGAGCTCCGGAAGGTTGGAAGCCATTTTCATCAGCTACGTAGTTGACGGTGTAGACAACGCCATCTGGACCGGTGTAGGAGTAAGATCCGCGAACTTGGATAGCTTCGTTTTCCGTTCCAGGGTTGGCGAGGTTTCCTTGTTCTTCCTGGGCGATGCCGTTGCTAGTTTCTACACTGTAAAAGAAAAAAAAAATTAGATCATATTGAAATGGTTAAATTTGGTTTTATAAATGAGGAAATAAATGTTTAGATCAATTTTTTTGGCATCTCATAATATTATATCCATTTTTTTTTCTGTAATATATTTGAGGGTATCATTTTTTTTATTTCCTTCACAAGTATACACAACGACTAAGGAGAAAAGTGGCATTTTTTTAATTGTTCACTGACACTTATATTATGAGAAAATCTCTTAAGAGTCCATTTCACTAGTTTGAAAAAGTAGCAAAATAAGCGTTCGGCATTTAACGTTTTATGTACAACTGGCTAAGTATTTTTACACAAATGAAGAAGGAAATTAAAGATAAAGGATTATACTATATTTGTATTGTAGCACATTTTTAGATAACTTCTTTATTTTTAAGATTTTGATGATCAAACATCGAGAAGATATTCCTTATTTTTCGACTAAAATTTCTCAAAAATAAAAACATAATTTAAAATACCGTTACAATAGTGAAATAGATTGAAGTTTTGTGATTACAGTGATATATAATGTGTATGGTTTTGTAACAAATTGTTCGCTATTTTATGGCAAATGCTGAAGCTCTGCAAACCTTAGCAGAGCCGTAATCAAAGCACGTGTGTTAGGAATTTTGGGTGTGGGTTAACACCACACGGAAGTCTCACCCTGTATTATAGGTTATACAGGGTGAGACTTAAATAAGTACAAATATTTTAGGGGTAATATATTTCGACCTCAGAAACACGTCCATGAGTTTCTTTTTTCGCGAAAAAAAATTTGGAATTTGTTTTTTTTTTATTTGGAACTTTTTTGATTTTTAGCTTTTAAAACCTAATATTTTCTTAATATGCTAAGATGTGAGTAGATTAAATTTACAAGAAAAAAACCCAGAAAAATTTTAGTGGTTCTCAAATTTTAAGCAAAAAATATATATTTTTTTTAAATTATCAAAGTAAAATATCTCAGTTATTTTCGACTTTTTTGAAAAACGGTAAAGAGAAAATATGTTTTTTTTTATCGTAATCCCTGAAAATATTTGCATTTATTTAAGACTCACACTGTATATTATGGTACACATTATTGTACCATTAAATTATTTTAAATCTAATTTGTTTTCAGTTATGTATATTATGGGGTACGATTTTAAAATTGTAAAATATCATAGATATTTAAAAAATATAATTAAAAACAAAGTTTCAATAATTTTTAATCAAAAAATTGCTATTTCCTTTAAAAAATTCTATGTTCAGAAATCAGAATCTCTATAGTCAATAAAAATTCAAAATATAATATTCAAGACATATTTTAAACAAAAAACTTTTAAAGCTCTGCATTATTGAAAAAATATTTTTTCAAAATAGTAATAGTTTTTTAAAATATTTTTTCTACAGTATGTTCTCGGATTGTCTTTTTCCGGACAAGAGGAAAAACTTTTTTATTATTGATTTTTTGAGAAAAATGCATTTTTCATAAAAAAATTTGCTTGTTCTAAAATGGTTAATCCCGTTTATACTTTTCCAAATTTCCATATCGTTTTAGAGAAAATTAAAAAAAAATATGAAATTATAGATGAATTTTTTCTAGTCCTAAAAATTAAAAGGCGTCTATGGGAATATAATTTCAATTTCATTTTTGATAGATGGTTATTATTCGTTTTGATCAAAGTCAAATAATTCACGGTTGTTAAAGTATTGCATTTTCCGATAGCTATTCGTAGCATTGAACTAAATAAATTTTGTGCTTCTTTAACATTCATTCAATGACACTCATTTATTCATTAAAGCCTCTGTATTTCGTTAGTGGTTACTAACATTATCAGGAGGTACCAAGCTACAAGAAACATTATTCTTTACAACAAAGCATTTTTGTTGATTTATTTTTGTGTTTTTCTTGTGTTCTTTGATTTTCGTCTTTATTACGTTAACCGTTATCTTGTATATTTGTATTTTATACTGAATTGCTTTGTTGTAAAGAATAATGTTTCTTCGTAGCTTGGTACCTCCTGATGACGTTAGTAACCACTAACGAAATATAGAGGCTTTAATGAATAAATGAGTGCCATTGAATGAAAACAGACCGAAATAACCTGAGTTAATTACAATTCTATCAATAACCATCTATCAAAGAATGAAATCGAAATTATATTATCATTGAAACGCGTTTTTTATTTTTTAAGACTTTAAGACAAAAAATCAATTTTTTAATTTTCTCCCAAAGTAGGTAAATTTCAGAACAAGCAAAAAATTTAATGAAGTATGCATTTTTCTCAAAATGTTAATAATAAAAAAGCTTTTCCTCTTATAAAGATAGTTCGGGGACATACTGTATATATCTTATATACTTACGCATATTTGTATCCATCTACACCAATATTGTCAAATTCACTTCTGAGGATGGTAGCTTCTTGGTCAGCACCAGGTGCGGCAAGAGTTACGGCTACGATAGCAACAAAGACAGCGACCTATATGACAGAAAAGTAAAACTGTTATAATCAACACCAAAAACAACAAAAAAAATTGTGTGTATTTAACCCTATTTATCTGTTAACATTAATCGAAACATGAGATTATATAAGATCGGAGTGGATTAAGAATAGGAATTGAATATGTAATAAATTAGCACTTACTACTTTCATTGTGACTGAAGATTTTTTGAAGATGCGTTTCAGTGGATCGATCACGGACTAGCTGATGTCATTTCGACCGATTTCGATGGTTTTTATACGAATCATCGATTCTTTCCCCTACTTCGGTGATATTTTGAAATTTTTCGTTTGTCTAGTATATGAATTTTTGGCGATCTTGATTTGGAATCATTTCGAAGCCTTTGACCTTTGGAAGCTCATATCGGTGTTATGTCACCTATTTTTTTATATTTTACGATCTTCAGTTTTGTGTAATATCTGATGTATCGATTTCAGGGTTGCTGTCCTGAATTTCAGTGTCAAGTTTATCTCTTTGAAAAATTAAAGAATAGGCGTTTTTAATATAAATATATTTCATTATAAACTTTTCAATAATTTATCTGTTCAATGGTGTATAGAGTTTACCATACACATGAGTGCTTGACGACAATCCTGCAGACCATACAAATATGAATTATTTTAAACCTTCATAAAATTAAAAGTGACAATTAAGAGCCTCTATCAAGCTATATGGAGCCTCTATGACATAGATATACCACATAGCAATTTCAAGAGACAATCAACGCTGAGCTTGAGCTTTGGTTTTCTGTGTTGAGTCTTAGGCAACAAAACAACAGATCGATATTAGCTTCTTCATATGAGCTGTATCATGATTACAGTGTAATCAACATTCAATATACAGGGTGGCGCCCCTCATACGACGCGGAGTCTTCAAGGAGACAGGTAGTTTATATTAAAATGAAATTTTAGGAGCATATGTATGTTAATTGGAAGCATTTTATAAAAATATATAGAGTTATATAGATATATAGAGTTCTATAGATATATAGAGTTCTACAGGGTGGCCCCAAAAAACGTTACGCATCAAAGTTGTGTTTTTTGTAATGGAATGGAGTTTTATTAAAGAAGTATATTTAACATATTTCACATTTTGTGAAAATAAAGAATAAATTTTGAATTTCAATAACATCTACTTAAATTGTAATTCACTCTGTATAGTCTGATATTTAGTTAAAATACTCATTATATGTTAAACCAAATTAAAATTTGACCCGAAAAGTTATACATGGTGAGACAAAATTAATATTGAACATTGGTTACTTTTAAAAGGAAGTTACTCCTTTATTTTAAATGAAACACCCAGTGTATTATTCCCTATATCCAATGGAGAATTCATATATCTTCAAAATATTAAAATTACCTACCCCATAGTCAAAGATTTTCCTAGATACATATTTTCATTTGTGTGATTTTGCAGCAGTAGATCTTTTTTGATAAAGATTATTTGATAAAATTTAGGGGGCTGTGATATATCTTTCATTAATTTAACAAAAAATAAAGGATATAAAAAAGATACAAGTTTTTTAACATATTTTAATTATTACATAATTAAAACTAGATATAAACGTATAATTATGTGACAAAAATTAGCTATATCAAATCAAATGGGCTCAAAATGCTTCCTTTCCTGTTCACTGCATCAAAATATTCTCTTTTCAAAAGATCTTTTCAAGTTTCCATTTTCGCCTAATTTCTGATTTTTTTTTGTTTTTGTTGATCTAATTTCTGTCGTTCTCCTTGGAGTCTTCGCGTCGTATGATTCAATATAATTTATCAGATTTGAAATAAATACTGTCCTAAGGGTAGTTTACTCATGACTCGAAAAATATCAAAGCCCATTAAAACGTACGTCTATGAGGTATCGCATTTCTTACTCTGGGCAAAATGTACGTCTTATAACCATACAGCCTCCTGCCAAAAATAAAAAAGGGTCGCGCAATAAACAACGAAGATATTGGCTTGTATCCATCTTAAGTGGGACACCCTGTATATAAAAATTCTGCTCTAGATTTTATGCGGCAATTTTTCCTAAACACGTCAGATTTATTGTTAAATTACGTGTTTATTTATATTAATTCGTTTTGACACTTAAATTCTCTCTTAGGAGTAAAATTTGGAGGTGTTATTTTATTTAAAGGATACTATGGAAAGAATGGCAGTCATTTTATAAATATGTGAAATTAAATGGTGAATGTGCTTGATCTTACGATTTTGAAGCCAATTTGGCTTTTTTTATCAATCGGTATTGTGCACAAGACAAAGATCTTAATAGACAATTCTACACGAATATAGAAATTGTTCAAGTAATCCGAAAACATCGATAAATTATTACATGGTTGTAATCTATAGCAATCTTATTGTTGTAATAATGTATGTTATTGCAAGAAAACCAAAAATGAAAAATTAACTGTCATGAAGGATAAGCAATACTTATATTTACACCTCCTACGCTTAACACCTAACCAAAAACTCCTTAATATATTTTTCCTAGATATTTTCTAGGAAATTAAACATTGCATTATGATATTTTCGTGTAACTTTTTAGCATTAAAAATGTTGTTTAATTCGGTAATAAATTATAAATGTCTACGTACAGCAGCGCGAATTGACCGCGACATTTAACGCGCTACAGTTGTTAAGAACGCCAACTTTTACCGAAGGACGCAGTATGTTCTTTATATAGTTAATCGGTGTAGATCTTCTTCATGAATAATAACTGGTTTAGCGATTTTCCCACAGGTAATTCATCTCGTTAAAGAATTACTTCCAGCTCAAAACTATAGAAGCTATATTTCTGTAATCTTCTGAGAATATTGTCAGTAAAATATAAAAAAGTTCAAAGTCGTGTATAACGTCTCTTTTTTGCTGCTAAGCTGAATCCGAACAGCGGACCTCAGTCATATCATGGTCAATGGGCTACCGACTTGATGAGTGTCTAAATTGACTCTAAGTACCTATTTTTTAATGAGGACATAAATTTCCTTGTATTACCGATTGCCTATTTTCTGATTACTTAATTCATTGTACGTTAAATGTACGTAAAATAAAACGGTTAATTTTCAAAATAACTACAAAAATAAAAATATGTTTTATAAAATTTAACCAATTTTTTAGTACTTAACAAATAACCGGTTGCGAAAAATTAACTTTTTATTACTTTGCTAAAAAAGAAATGCTGCTAGTTAAAAATCTATCTAACAATCATGCTGTATTTATTTAAATAGAGCTGGTTATTATACATAAATGCCGCATGATCGAAAACATCAAGTTGCCAAAGGCATCCAGTTGGCTTGGAAATGACGATCGATGACATTCCTCATGTAGAATGTTGAATAAGTGAGAGGGAGGGTTAATCACTGCAACCTTAAAGATTTATTGTGCCCCCCTTCCTTCAGTTATAACTCATCACACAGTCTATAACCCATCACACCTCTGTTGTAGGGGGACAGGGTATTTCCCATCCTCCTCTGACAACATACACACCACGGTTGGAGTTCGACCCTCCATGCTCTTCACAGTCGAGGAGGTTGCCTCCGGCTGAGATACCATTGCGATAAAAAAAAAGTAGTACAACAAAATATGATTTAATCTGCTGGTCTATATTCTTGTGTAAATGTCACGTAATTTAAAAAAAAAATGCCTTTAACTTAAGAGCAAAAATCGATTATATTTACGCGATTAAGGGATGGGGTTTCCCATGAGGGACATTGCAGATGCATTAGGGACAAACAAAAAAACAGTGTTGTTGGCTAAATCCCAAAAATTCAATATAATTCAACTATCCTTATAGACCAGGAGTTCTATCTCGGACTACTAATTCTTGTACTACTTTTTTTGATCGCAATGGTACCCGTGAGGGTAGGCTGGAGGATCTGTCTCCATTTTCTCCACCTCTTTAACTTGGTCTCTCCTTAGACCTGATATCGGTATTGTCCCTTATCTATAATAGAGGATATGTCCCTCTTTCTCTATTGCCTCCTTGGAATTGAGGTCAATTCCTATTGTGAGGACCTAACCATGACATGATCCTCCTCCCTAGGGTTGATGACTCGCCAACTCGATCTCCTTACATTGAAGTTCTAACCCTGGATAAGGCTTAGCAGGTAGGTGGTGTCTTTCCCCTTGCCCCTCGACAGAAAGACCGCGATGGCCGCCCGTTTAGGGATGTTTTCTCCCTTCACTGCAACCAGTCCCGGCCATTACCAATTTTTAAGTTAGGTGCGATTTCCACCAACCAATTCGCCGATTCTTGAGATACACAATCTATGAGGATCATGCCCACCCGAAAGTGTATCCCCGCAAAACGCTGCTGACACAGATTTTACATTTTGTAGATCATTTGCGATCCCATTGCCACTACTTCGTCCAGTATAGCCTCTTTTAGAGCCGTGTGCTGGTCGGTGGTCAGAGCAACCTCTGGGAAATCTTTAGGCAGCACCGCCCACATTCCCCATATAATTTTACATATCAAAAAAGGTTAGATTTTCCATGAGCTTAAAGCACTGCATATACTACTACATTACACACCACAAAAGATACAGCATTTCTTCCTGCATCAACTATTTCTTATTGATAATAAAATCCCTAATCAGTTTGAAATTGTTAGGTAGTATATTTATTTTGAAATTTTGACTTTATTTACATTTTTTCTTTAATGCTGAATTTAAAGTAACTAATATTGGATATATATTTTTTATATATATTTTTTTTTCTTTTTACAGACTACACATATTATATCTCAACACAACGAAGTTTTTATACAATCCGTCCAAATACTCTCCTGAATGTCTTCTGAAAATGAAAAAATCCGGTACCTATGTAATTTTGTAATATTTAAATCTAAATTCTCAAACTTTTTTAATGAAAAAAAATATTTTTATTATTATTATGACAAAAATTCTATTGAACTTCTTAGAAGAAATTTTAGGGTGCCATAAAATGAACGCCATTTTCTTTCATAACTACATCGAAGACTTGATCTTTGGATATCCATACCATTTTCACGCTATAGATCTTCCATGAATAAACGTATTAAAGGAATTACTTTGATATTTAGAGGAATATCATTAAACTTAAAATTAATCCGGCCTTGTCCTTTTTTGTTTTATCTGTACGACAATCCTGCATTTAGTTTTACACGGTTTTACTTTGGTTTTACGTTGTACATCACACTCTATTTATTTCAAA